GTCAGAGACTTTAAGGAGGGCACAGACAGGTGTCTCCATTCCTGGCAGGCTCCAGCTTGAGGCGCCATGTGACAGAAATGGCTAGAGAGTCTGCAGGCCCTCACCTCTGAGGGTAGGAGGCCTTCTTGCCCTTGAGCAGCTCACTGGCACAGAGCTTCTCCCTCAGCATCTGCACCTGCCTCGGGGACAACTGATCTCGGAACTTCTTGCACTACGAGGAGGAGAAAGCTAGGATCACTGAGGTGGAAGTCAGGGCTAGGGAGGGAAGTGAGAGAATGGGGCTAGAAGACACAAGGGGAGAAGAGGGACCGAGGGGACATGACAGAAACCAGACACAGGAAAGGGGCCCAGAGGACCCATGCAGGGAGACAGGAAATTGAAGGGTGTGGACGAGAAAGCAGACACCAGCAAATACAAGCCCCACCAAACACGATGCCCAGCACACAGGACCAGGCTTAGACTAACACGGGCATCGTATTGTGTTTCCTGGGTCGTGAAGTAGGATCAGACGCAGAAAGGACAAATATTGTGTGGTTGCCACCTACAGGAGTTTCCTACAAAAGCGAAAGTCACTGAAACAGAAAGTAGACTGATTACAGGGAGGGAGGCCAGGGCTAAAGGGCAAAGAACAAAAGTATGAAGGAGGGTGGCGGCAATGGCCTTGCAACAACCTGAACGGACTTGTCGCCAGAGTTTCAGCACTTAGAAATAGGAACATGACAGATGCTGCTTGTGTATATTTTACCACAGTAAAGAAATCAGGAGCCGGGCAGTGGTGGCGCACGCCTTTAGTCCCAGCACTCGGTAGGCAGAGGCAGAGGATCTCTGTGAGTTCAAGACCAGCCTGGTCTACAGGAGTTAGTTCCAGGACAGCCTCCAAAGCCACAGAGAAACCCAGTCTTGAAACCCACCCCCGCCCCCACGCACACACACACAAAAAAAAGGAATGAGAAGGAAAATAAGTGTGTGTGTGTGGGGGGGGTCACACTAGAGGTGGGAGGAGCCTGACCTTACCTTCCACTGATAGAAGAGGCGCTGCAGCTCCTGATTGGCTGAGTTGAAGCACTTGTAAGGGGCAGCTGGCCATGTGTTGTCCAAGACTTTGGTGGATGGCAAATTCTTCTTCAGATCCAGGAGAAATTTCTGTGCCTGCGTCGAAAGCGGAGTCTTAGGAATGGGGTCATGAGAGGAGCCACTCTCAGGCGGGCAGACTCGCACCCAGGTCCTGACACCCAAGAGGAAAGCGGCCCCCTTGTGAGACACAAGAGCAGAGCTGAAGAGGTGGGGCAGAATTGTCTCCTGGGTCTCTGTGGGTGAGCACTGTGCTTTGGGGCTGGAAGGTGAGAACAGAAACGGAAAGTCTGGGAAGAGGGAACTGACACCTAGGGCAGTGAGGCTGGACCATCAACATCAAAGCTAGTCTCTATATTGCTCCCCTGGCTTTTGTCTCTCAGGTCACAATGACCTACAGCTGGGGCTATTGTCTGCGTTGGTAAATGGATGGACACCACATCTGCCCTCCTCTCTAATCAACGGTGCCTGATGCCTCACCCTGCCATTCAAACCCTCCACTTGGAGGCCAGGGTGCTGTCCCAGAACCCCCTGGACCCCCAGCATTCCACAGCATTGCCACAGCCCTTCCTTCTTGGCATGCTCAAGGACAATGACACTCAACCTTACTTCTTGCTGATCTGATAGTTCAGCTCCCGCCACCAGGATTCTCTACAGTGTGTGAGCTGCAGCTCAAAGCCCTCCCAGATGCTCCAACATCTCCCACACTACCCTTCCAGCCCCTGTGGAGTTGCCCAGTGCTTGCTTTTTCAGGATCTCCAGAGTCTAAGCCTGCCTAGAGCCATGGGCTGCCAAAACTTCTGTTAGAAAGACAATCTTAGGCAGTGGCTGGAAACTCAGAAATCAAATACTTTACCATTCATCAGCTATAGGGCCCAGGGCAAATTACTCAGCCTCTCTGAGTCTTAGCTTGTTTTGGTTTTTGAGATAGGCTCTCAGTATGTAACTCTGGCTGGCCTGGCACTTGCTATGTAGAGGAAGCTGATCTCTGATTCACAGAGATTTACCTGCCTCCACCTCCCAAGTACAGGAATTAAAGGTATACATCACCACACCTGGCCCAGGTCTTAGTTTTTTAACCTGTCAAGTTAGGGAAAGCAGAGGGCCTTGGATTAAGTATGGAAAGATTATAGCGTATTGTCAGTGCCAAAAGCGTTGAGAGAACCAATGACCTAGGATTCTTAGGGTGTGATTTATTGAACCACATAGCTCCCAGGTGATGTTCAGCAGCTGTCTGACAAAGTGCAGGTGAAAGAAAAGTTGAAAGAAGGGACTGTCAGGAGGTTAAGTGCAAAATCAGATCACAGACCTCGGGTGTCTAGCAAACAGCACGTAGAATTGAAAGAGACAGGGCATGGTTGAGCCAGCCCAACAGGCCAAGCTAGCACAGAGACAGGGAGAAGGAGGGGGAAAGAAAGGCAGAGGATGCCAGGAGGCCTCAGCTTCAGAACTCCACCCCTCCCCAGTCAAGCAGTCCAGGCTTTAGGACGACAAAGACAAAGAGTGCCAAATGAAGGCACTTCATGCTCAACTGAGCATCCTTGGCGAGGGTCCTAAAAACCAACAAATGCAGTTGAGTAAGGCCAGTTACACCTTCCTGCAGTCCTCAGGCTAAGGCCCCTACGTTCCCATCTCGTCTGGCTTTTATCCAAGGCTTCACTGCGGCACTGTTCCCACTGTGGCTTTCAAGATATCCTCTGGGAAATGCCACCACTATCTAAGGGACATCCTGTGGGAAGCCATCCTCAGCTGGAGGCATCCTTCTGTAGGAGCCCTTTCCAGACATGCCCCTCCTCACTTCTATGGGCATTCAGAGGAGACAGGAGGGAGATGTGATCCCTTTGACCTTAGAGGTCAGACTAGTTAATCCTGTGTCCTCATTACCCACTTACTTCATAAGAAAGCCAACTCCCCAGCCCGTCTCTCCCCAGGTCTGTGTGTTCTCGGCTCAGGTGGGAACACTGGGTCTCTCCCTTGGCCCAGGATGCACACAGCATCTGCTTGAGCCAAGGGATGCTGGATGTTGTTGTGTCCACAGACACCAGAGCCTGCTCCCAGTATGTGACTGCTCCATCTCATAGAGTGAAGACACTCGGAGGGAAAGCTTGGAACCAACCACCTCCTCACACGCCCCTAAGACTCTCCCAACTTCTCCGCCAGTCTCACACCTTAGCTTAGCCCGACACTTACGATGCTTGCATAGATAAAATTTGCCAAGGTGAGGGCAGCGCCTGACCGGAAATATTTTCGATAATTCTTGCGGGCCTAGAAGAGATATGTGAGGAAGATGTCAGCACAAGAGAGTCTAGGAGAGGTTCTGCTATTTGTTTTCAACCCAAGCAGAGTCAGAAAAATAAATAAATGAAGGCTGAGATTTATAATAGGAACAAATGATTCGAAGTCACCAACAGATAAAGGCAGAAACACACCCAGACCTGGGCACCAGTCTCCTGGATAGGCCAGAGCAGGAGATAGGCAATCTCGGGGTCACAACATGGCGCGTCATCTGACGGTTGGGGGGGGGCTCTCTGCCCGTCCTTACCTTCCACCCTCTCACAAAAGCCTGGATCAGCATTGCTGATGCCTTCATCTTCTCATAGTGCCTCTTTTGCTGTAGGAAACAGGGCACTGTTAGAAAAAGACACACCCTAAACCACACATCCCTGCAGCAGGAGTGGTGTTTGGGAAGTGACGTGGCACCTTGTTGCCCCGGAACCAAGCAGAGATGAGAATCTGACTCTTGCGCATCTGCTGGTAGTGGGTCCGGCAGCGCCAGCCGCGGTAGACCTTCTGTATGAGGGTGGCCAGCTGCTGAAGCCGCAGGCGCCTTTGTTCCTCCAGGTAGAAAAGCTGGGGTGGAGGCAAAGAGGGGCTTGCTCTCCCTTGCACTGTGCTGGACCGGAGCTCCCCAGACTGCTTCTTACATGATCACCCATCTTTTAGTGTCCACTACAACCAGGCCAGGCCCTGTGGTGAGCTCCTAGCTTACACGGCAGGGAAGGTCAAGCACTCGGTTCCCAGGGTGGCGTTTTCCTTGTGCACCATCCAGTCCCGCACTGGATGCTGCCTTTTCTGCTACCCTCTTTTCTCAGGGGAGCCCCTCACACCTCCACATTCTGCCTCCACCAAACACAGCCCCCCCCCCCACTTCCTGACTCACAGTCTTGGGGCTTCTAATAAAGATCTTGGTCTTCCCATAGGCGAGCTCCTCTGAAGACACAGACACAGACTCCAGGACCTTCTCCACACCTTCCCTACAGGGGCAGATGGGGGAAGAGCTGTGGAGAGGTGTGCCGGGCAGAGTCCTCATCCACACCTCCCCTGTCCCTCTGAGGCCCTGTTGAGGAGAAGCATCATTTCCCCAAGAACCCATCCACCCTCTTCAGAAGATTTGCTCAACCCCTCTCTCCCCGCTGTGGTCCTTACCGGTCTCCCCCATTCCAGTGAGGCCAGGTGCTGCGGCTCAGCAAACGGTACCTTTCCAGGAAAGGCTTATAGACCTGGCGGTAGGCATAGCCAGCCCTACGCACCCGAACGTTCTCCAGCAGCCCCAGGTATCGAGCCTGGACCACAGCCAGCTCTGAGGAGAACTTTCCTTTCTGCTGCTGGTTGTTGGGCTTTATGCACCTGTCAGGAAGTTGAGAAAACATAAACTCAAGAGCAGACTCCACGCCAAGGACGCTGACCTATTCCCCCCAAGCCCCTGAGGTGGGGATTTCAGTAGAAGTGAAAGGAGACCCTCTTGGCCTCCCCAGTTCCACCGTCTTCTGAAGCCACCCTGTTGGCCACAGGATGTTCAGCAAGCTCCTCATCTGGTCCCTTCTTCCACAAGGAGAGAGCTTCCAGAACCCTATGCCAGAAGAAACTCCCCGGGCACGGACCCCATCCCACCCGAAGGATGTTCCCCGGTATGCCCGGCTTTTCACCTGATGTAGTTGGGGTTCTTAGAATACAGGTTCTTCATGAGTATGGCCACTGAATTCTTAAACTGGGTCCCGGCAGTCGGGGGGCGTTTGAGAGACGCTTCCTTGGGATTACCCTCTGGGAACAAGGACCGAAGGAGGGGATGCTGGGCCTTCCACATTGCCTGGGAAAGGTCTCGGAAGAGCAGGTCGTTATTCTTGTCGATGAAGCCCATCACGTTGTAGGTCACCTGCAGAGGAGCCGATGTGGGTTCAGACCCCAGGGCCTCTCGGTGCTCCCTCACCCTCCTCTGCCTTTGGCTGCCATATCATACTACTGTATCACCTTGCCCGCATAGTGGCAGATGCGGAAGCAGCTGAGACCCATGGTGTGGTCGTACTGGCGCTGGGCGTTCTGGGTGACTCTGCTCTCGTAATGACTGTGCTTAGAGAAGAGCTGGTTCAACTTTGCTAGGAAAGTGGAGTCGCTGACTACCCCAGGTCTCAGGCACTCCTCATCCAGCATGGCCAGGATGCCTCGCTGATTCTGGGTCAAGGAGACAAGACTGGTGTAAGCTTGACCTTGTCCTTCAAGATGTCCACATCATCACTGCTGTGCCCTCAACCCCCCCCCCCTGCCTCTGGTCCTTTTCCCTCTTTTTGTCATCCTCGACAGGTGGGGGGAAGGGGGGGGAGATGAGGAGGGAGGCTGTTCAGGCAGTCTGGAAAGGGAGGTCCCAGGGCTGAGAGAACAGCCACTCACTTGTTCAATGAGGTTACAGATGATGCCGTTGTCAAAGTACTCCACCTTTGTCCATGGAATGCCCTGCCAAAGGGAGACATCCGTTACAGAAACAAGTCCCAGGGAATTCCAAAGTCCTCGCCAGACACAGCTCCTTTAACCCACCCTGGAAGGAACTTCCGAAAGCCCTGTCACTAGGCGAGGACCTTGGTTTGATTCAGTTCACAACCCAGCCCTCCCAGGTTGGTGGAGAATTTGTGTGTGTGTCTCGGGGACTGAGTAGGCACATGGGAGAAACCAGAGGCAATGCCAAAGGCTGGAGATGGTGCGGGCTGGGAGGGAAACGTGTGTCAGGTGTGAGCTCACCCCAGCATGGCAGGAGAGAAGGACCCACATACATGGGGAAGAGGAATACTGTGCTGACACTCTCAGCCCAGCTAGAGGGCATGGCCTGGGGCTGTTACCCAGCAACAAAGTCAATCTGATGCAGCTTCAAAGATCCACACTGTGGTTTTAGTTCGACAGCGTTCACCACGCACTTGCTAAAGCACAGACTGCTCCTTCTCCTAAACTTAGCTTCCAGTTCAGAGTGTCTGGGATGCACCCAGGAACTGACATTTCCAACCTGTCCCCAGGGGTGTGGTTGCTTCCAGTCCAGGACCATACTTCAAACGCTACTGATCCAGGGCTGAGATGTCTCAGTGGGTAAATGTGCCTTTTTGCCAAGCCTGATGACCTGAGTTCTATCCCCAGGGGTCCACGTGCTTGACAGAATCAACTTCTTCAGGCTGCCCTCTGATCTCCGCACAAAGTCTGTGACAAACACACACAACACATACACACAGCACACGCACACAACACACACATACACAACATGCACACACAACACACGCAAGTAAATATGGACAAGCACATATTTTGGACCGTATAGTTTTTTAAAGCAAGGCTTGCTCTCTGCTTTGAGTTCTCCCTGAACATCACACTTATAGGAAGCTGTTGTAATCCTTCCCGAGAGCCAGACTTCTCAGAGGAAGCCATACCCAAACATAGGCTATGGCACGCAAGCCTTTGCTTCTTCCCTCACAGTTTCTTAGAGAAAAGAGACTGAAACTCAGTGAAGTTGCCTTCCTACTTCTTCCCAAAATACCTTTCCTAAGTGAAATACGGCATCCTTGCCATACCACACAGCCATAAAAAGGATTCCACCTTGCTAAGGGATGACAAGTACAGAACAGAGTGTATTTACTGGCTTTTATATATGTGTTATATATATTTTAAAAAGTCCATTTACATAGTTGCGTGTAAACAGGTAAAAGACCTTCTGGTCTTTGTGGGGAGGAAAAATGCGCGTTTAGGGGCAGAGGTGAGAGGAGACTTTTATTTGCCTACTTTTACAAGTTTTTTGAATTTTGAAATATAGTTTCACCTTTGAGCTTTTAACTTATTAAAGCAAAAAAATGTGTTAAACCATGTTTTAAAAGTCTTCTGTGCATTGTAGCCAGAAGCCCTGCCGTCGAGACCAGTTCTTGAGAGCCCACAGGGAACATCTCTGGAAGGGTTAAGGGGTGAGACCCTGCCACTCGCTCACTTGCTCACACTTGGAAGATGATTGGTTTAATCAGAGTTTTTCTAACACCTAGCCATGGGATGCAGGGGTTTACACTGAGTCAGAGAAGTCAGGAAATCCACCACGGGGTGCACTTCTGTGAGTCACTCTGGAATAATGCAGCTCTAACAGCAGACAGCAACATCACCCAGCACCCCAGGGAAGGCAAAGGATCTGACATGTTAGAGAAGGGAACCGAAAGGGACAAGGGACGTGCAGGGTGCCAAGCCCAGAAGAATGTCCCTTCTCAATTTGTCTTGCAGTCTGCCACAGGCCAAACACAGCTGTCACTTCACTCTTATCAGGACTACACACACACACACACACACACACACACACACACCACACACACCACACAC